CAGATCCTCTTCCTTCCACATTAAAGTAATAGGAGATTTTCTCTTTACTTTGAACAAATTACTTAAAACAGAGATGATGTCACTTGCTGTCTGCTCTTTACCATGAGTATTTAGGTGAAATCCCTGTCTTGTGAATAAATCCCTATCCATGTCCATGCTGACCTCAAAAAGATTTTGATGAGCCTTCTTTAATTTATCAAGCTTCCTATTAAAAGTTTTTACTTCTTCATTGATGCATGAATTAGATGCTAAGTCATATCTATGTGGAACTTTTAAAACAATAACATTTGTATGTTGATGACAACTTATAAACTCATGTAGTGAACGAATACCAATATTAGTTTCATTTCTCCCAACGTCATTTGTACCTCCCCAAATTATACAGGCGTCTTTCTTTGTTAATTCTTTCAAGTCCGAGCTTACACTATTTGTCAATTTTTCCAATGTTGATCCAGGTTTTATTACCCCTTGTATCTCAAATTCTTGATTTAACCTATGCTTCAACTCAGTTGCCAGTCCACGTGCATGGCTATCACCTAGTATTCTTATTTTATGTTTCACCCTTTTTGAATTATCACTATTTATATTTACATTTTTTACATTTTTCATTCCCAACTTCATACGGTATGCTTCGATGTCCTGACCCGTCTTTGACAATACGTTATATTGAATTTTGGGGTTATGAACGTCAACTGACACTCTTTCCTCTTGCAAAATCTTGATTACTTGCTGTGCTGATTTTAACTCCATTGTAACCATTTTTAAATAGTCATTCAATTTATTACAATTTGCACAACAATTTAATTCACTTTCACCAGTATTTTGATCCAAATATCGAGAGACACAATCAACGCCATCTTGTGAGCAGCTTGGTGGGAAAAGGTCCAAAACCAAGCAAATTCTGAGGTGCTACAATATTTCAACAATTGGAGCAGCATCTCTGTGAGACACCTAGAGTATATACACAGTGTGTTCAGGTTCTGTTAGTACTGTGTTCATTAAAAATACAAGATGTGAATTATTTTCAAAATTTCACTCTTTTTATTCAAAATAGTCTCCTTCTAAATCAATACATAGCTGGAATCGATTGAAAAGTTTTCGAAAACAGTCGCTGTACTCCTTTTGTGGAATCGCATTTAAAACTGCGGTACATTCCCTTTGGATGTCCTGGATAGTGTTGTGGCGGTCTCCTTTCATCGCCAACCTAACTTTTGGGAACAACCATAAACCTGCTGGAGCCAAATCTGGCGAATACGGAGGATGATCAAAGACTGTGATCCCTTGCTTGGCCAAAAAATCGCGCACGATCTTCGATTTGTGGGGTGGGGCATTGTCGTGGAGGAGCGCCCAGGAACCTTGCTCTCGATATTCAGGTCGAATTCGAAGAATTCTTGCCCACAAACGGCTGAGGACTCCGAGATAGTAATCAGAATCCACTGTTTGACCTTCTGGCAGAAATTCCTTGTGAATGATTCCTTTTGAGTCGAAGAAAACGGTTAGCAGTGTCTTTACTCGACTCTTCTGCATGCGCACTTTCTTTGGTTTCGGCTGGCTTCTTTGGGCTCAGCCACGCTGCACTCTACCGCTTTGTGAGATACTCATATTGAAAACACCATGTCTCGTCACCAGTAACAATCGATTTTGTAAATTTTGTATCACTTTGGGCCAACCGCAACATGTCTTTGCAGTGTTCCACTTGGGCATATTTTTCATCTCCTGACAGTGCGTGCGGTACAAACCACACACAGAGCTTCCATTTGCCAAAATCCTCGGTCAAAATTTGGGGCACAGTACTTTTTGTATTTCCAAAAGCTCCTCAATGAGTCTTGCAGAAACGCATCTGTGTGATGCAAGGATTTTGGTAACTTTTTTCACATTTTCTTCAGTGCGACTTGTTCTCGGTTTTGATGCACATGGAGCGTCTTCAATGTCCTCCCTGCCGTCACGAAATACGAATAAAGTTCGGCAGAGATTCTACTGGCTCCAGGCAAGAACCGATATTGAGAAATGGTGTCGACAATGCGACACATGTGCAGCCAGTCGGGGACCGCGGACAAAGAACCGTGGGCAAATGCACCAGTATAATGTCGGGGCCCCCTTCCAGAGAATAGCCATTGACATCGCAGGGCCCTTCCCACGAAGCGACCAAGGAAACCGATACCTACTAATCGCTATGGACTACTTTACCAAGTGGCCGGAAGTGTACGCCATTCCAAATCAGGAAGCGTCGACAATAGCGGAAGTACTGGTTGCAAACTTTTTCTGCCGCTTCGGCATACCTCGGGAGTTGCACAGTGACCAAGGCCGTGACTTCAAATCTCAGCTACTGCAAGAGGTTTTGCAACGCCTGGGAGTAAGCAAGACGCGCACAACACCCTTCCACCCGCAGTCGGATGGCATGGTAGAACGTTACGCCAAAACCATCGAGGAACACTTGCGGAAGGTCGTCGCATCCCACCAGAGGGACTGGGATGAGATGTTACCCCTCTTTCTCCTAGCTTACAGAGCGTCCACCCACGACACTACAGGCTTGACCCCTGCTAGCCTAGTATTCGGATGAGAGCTCCGGCTACCTTGCGACCCGCTGTTTGGGGGGCCCCCCGGCANAAACTACAAGCATCATGGGAAGGTCCTTACAAAATAGTGACCCGGATAAATGATGTGGTATACAGAATCCAAAAGAACCCGAGGTCGAGGATGTTGGTAGTACACCTGGACCGGCTCGCGGCCTACCATGGAACTGCTCGAGACGAGCAAAACTGAAGAGAGGGGCGGATACGGTTAGGCGAACACCACACGAAGACGCCGGCAGAACGGCAAGGCCGAATGAAGACGTTGCCAGTTAACACCGTGGGATCGAAACCGAGGGAGAACCTTTGGGCCGTTCGGGGACGAACGACCTTTAGAAGGGAGCAATGTAACGTGTCTGGAATCCGGAGGAGTCACTTCTATGGAAACACCAGAACAGACCGTTGCATAAGAAGTAACAATAGCGATACTGTAATTCCAACAGTGAGCTGTTGTATCGAGAACATCGAATCTCCACGGTTACGACAAACAAGCGTAGCGTTCCCACAGAGACAACGCAATAACAATGGGTCATTGCGTAGGAAACGCTGAACAAACAAAGCAACGTCTCCATGGTTTTAACAAAGGGTTCGTTGCCTAACAGCGGGCAAGGGTATAAATAGCCCAGCTTCGACGAGAAGCAGTCAGTTTAGGAACATCCGTCGCAGAAGACAGTTGAAGTGTCACAGTGAATAGTTACGGTACTCGTGATTGTGTAAGCGTGAAGAACGAACAATAAAGGTTCTACAGAATTTGATACGGCGTGAATTTATTTGTCGCGTTATACACCCAATACGTGACAATACCATTAAAAAATGTTCGAGCGACTCAATCACTACCGTACAACTTTTCAGCATTTTGTACGCTTCTCCATCTGTTTTGCTTAACATCAAACAAAATCTGATATTGCCTCTCTTTTCAACCGCCATTTTCCGACGAGCGTCAGAACAGTACTGTTATATTCTAGGTCAGACCACATGATGAAACGATGCTTGCGCTTTGAAATTACAGACAGCCACAGCTGAAACTTCAAGAATCTTAATGCCACAACTTGCCAACAGATGGCATTGCTGGGCAAAATAAAAAAAAATGTGTCCTAACGGATCCTGGACACACCGTGTATGACTGCATGTCACCCATGGATTGTATGTACACCAGCAAATGAAGGTGACACAACTGCAGCTATGGGACAAGAGCCGTGGAGAAGCATAGGCAGTATCACAGGAGAATTGGGGTTTGTGCCTCTAACTGCGAGGAAGAGGTTGTGGTTTCAGCAGGACAGAGTTCCAATGCACTGTGGGGATAATGTTTGTTAGTTGTTCAATGCAACATATCCAGGAAGATGGGTTAGATGTCAAGAGTCAATTGCAGGGCCTCCTCAGCTGCCATATCTAACTCTGGCAGATGTTTTCTTGTGGGGGCACTCCCAGAACTACCAAAGATCTTGTTGCAAGACTCCAAGTATACGTGGCAATGGTCAACGCCAACATGTTAAAGTGAATTAAAGAGAATCCTGTATGGAAGGCACACTTCCATCTGCCTTGAAATGGACGTGGGCCACCTTTAACACCCACTGTAACAAGGAGGTGCCCATAGTTCGATCATCTGAAAGACTGTGCCATCTAACAGTCGTGTGCAGCTCGAAAACTAAACACCACAGATCATGCTTTCTACAAAATTGTTCCCTGTCTTTTTACAAGAAATCATACTGTTATGTGTACGAGTGTGACTATAGACTGGGTTTGGATTGGTAATCAAATTTATTGAACACTTTAACACCTACAACCCAAAAATGATTTAATTATTTGTGTTTACTCTGTTATTAGGTCAAACTATGTATTCTGTAGTGCTGAATGGTGAGAGAATTAGTAAATAATGACTTGGAAAGGATGTGAAAAGAAACAGTCATAGTCTAGTTTGAAGTATTATTCTGGCATTTGCCTGCAGGGATTGAGGTAAACCATGAAAAGTTTAGTCATAATAGCCGATGTCCTGACCAAGATTTAAATCTGGCACCCCTAAACATAAGTCACAAATGTTATCACTCAGCCAAACTGATGAGTAAAATTACATATAACTTCATAATAGTCATCAGTTAGCGTGTGTAACTTAGTTTTATTTCTGTTTTGGTCGACAACTGCATGAAAGCCAAAATTCAGTGACAGGTTAAGCAGTGTAGCTAGATTAGATTCCTTAGTAACTGCAACTGCATAACAGATTGAGATGGTTACTGTATACAGGTGAATTAAAAGTCAACCTTTCATTTAAACTAGTAACTGTAAACAAAGCTCAAATTAAAAAAATGCGATCATATTATAATCATCCAAAAAAATAGAACTTGCTATGCTCCACAAGAAACTAAGAATCAGCCAACACAGAACACAGGATGCTTCGTCCAAGAAGGCGGCAAACCTGATGGCTTACTAACTTACCTTCATCAATGTCATTCCTAGCAGCAGCTTCTAGAAGCATAACACTGTCACTGAAGTATATGTGTTTGTTGGACTTCGGAACCTTCTGGCCTGACCACTTCTTCTCTCGCTGTGCCCATGCTTTGAGTTGCTGCAAGCGTCGACGGCGTGCCAAGTGGAGACGTTCTTGGGTGCTCAGGTGCTCCACATGGGCCATTTCGGCCACAAGCTCTGCATGCTCCATTTCTGTTTGGTGGTGGTACTGAAATTTCAGGTGGTTAGACAACTATCATGTAAGAAAATAATGTTCACACTATTGTCAATCATGGTAATCAATTCTGACAAATATCATTTCCCACTTTAAATCTTATAAATCATATCACCACACTTGGTGCCATTATCTTATCGAAACTACAATTGGCCTCGTGTCATACAATTAAACCGAATTTATCCTATGACATGTACGTAACGTGATAACAGGTTTTATCAATTAATATCCACACCCTTTTATAGTGATGTAATGAATCATGTATGCAGTCTTGTTTACTTACCTCCTGTGAAACCTTGGCCGAAATCAGGAGCAAGTGACATTCGCCTCCACTTCCTTGTTACGAAGTCCGTGTCCGGAACCACACGAGAATATACATCTTTTAAATACACTCGTACCTAACAGCAGCATTCTGTATTAGTTCAAGCCCATTTTTGCTATTCAACATCAATAAATTTTACCTGCTGCTGCTAGAAATAATCCATAACAAAAAAGTGCCACCGGTTGCCATTTTCCAGATCTTGAAATTACGATTATCATGCGAAATTTGTCGTAACTTTTTCCCAGAAATGTTATCCAAACAAAATACTATACACTTATAAGTATACAAGTAAAGCTGATATTAACATTTAGAAAATTTTAAAATTGCCAATTAACAAGAAAGTTTTCCCGAGTAATATGTCACCCCATGAAAAAAATTTAAACCGGGTCAGCAACTTACAGTTTACGAGCAATGCGCTCACATATCGCCAACTGTCTTTGAAATCTTTCTCCGCAAATATGTCATTATTTACTTAGTATAGTAGCCGTTGGATGGCAGTAAGATCACTACACCCGCAGTAGAGAAATGTGTAGTGATGGAAATTGCTATCTGAATAATAAACGTCATATTGTACTTAATTGAAGCACTAAATAAAAACAATATATTTTTGAAATTAGAATGTTAAGAAATTTTGAAGGAAGAGTGGTTCATGCTGTCAGTGCGGGACTCTGTGCTGCTGCTTCAAGTTTGTTTGGAAAGTTGTCTGGAATACAGGGTTATTCAACATGTGTCAGTACGACTATATGCTATAAACGCAAATAATTTTTCACTGAGCTTGGGAACACATCTGTTAAGTCTCATTCTCATTATGACGTTGAAGGGATAATAGATTGAATTCCCGACAAACAAGTAGTACCGGTATGTAAAAGGAGGTGCATGTCCAGTAGTGGGTTGGTGCAGATAATACATAAGCTGCAGCACCAGTAGAAGATCAGGTATCATGGTATAGTTTGGTATTAATAGGTAGGACAGCACCCAGAAATTAATTTAAACGGGCCTGAGAAGGATTGGAATAAAATAAGCGAGTTTTGCTGTTAGAATTAACAGAAAATTTATCATCACTAATATTTTGCTTTAATTGTATCTGTTTTACGAGCAAGAGTTGTTTAACAACATCCTTGCCGCTTTGACAAGTTTATATGCATCGATCTGTGTTCATTGCAGTTATAAAGTATCTACAGTATTGGTGCTTGGGGAGAAATAAAAAATATGCACTTCAAAAGAATTGCAAAAGGCGTTTTTCATAATGGAGCCAATTTGTGATACAGATTGCTGTTCAGTTACTGCCTTGCAGAGTCTGGCTTGTGCAAGGTGAAGGGAATACAGTGTTAGTGGGAGGAGTGGGAGGGATATGACAGTGAATTCTGATGTTGGCAACAGAAGGAGGGCCAGTGGCAGCAAGTGACTGATTTTCCTGAGACTTTATAGGAACAAGTCTCTGGATACCACCAACCCTTGGTACACTCATCAGCAATATGACCATGACTGCAGTGTCAAGTTCAATTTGAAATTTATTGAACTGCAGTGAAATTTAATTTTTTCTGTAAGTTTACATATGCATTATGCTCTGTTGTAGGCAGACCTGGCTTTAAAGATATTACTCTTTGTTCTCATGGTGGCTTGTAATGCTGGGGTGTGGATGTGTTTTGTTAAGGCACTGCAGCAGTCACCCTCTTCTTTACCGCCCACTGTCATCAGCACTGCAATCAACTATGTTAGCTCGGTATGTTACGTTACAGCTGTCTTACAGCAAAAGGAATGGTTGGTATTCACCCTCTTCAAGGATTATATTTGCTCAGCACACATAAAAGGAACTCTAATGGGAAGGTTGCCATATTTCATTTCTAAAACTGCACAACAGATTATAATAAACTCTGGTACTGGGTGTCTACACTAAAAGTTGCCAGAAGATTTTAAGTTTTAACAGCATTGTTTCAGTATAACTGCTACTATGCATGAAGTTAAAATCAGTCTATCATTTTTTTCAAGAATGGTTCATTGTACAAACAGTTTGTATGTAGAATATGATAATAGGACTTAAGTAAGACTGCACCTTTTTTTTTGCAGCATTTCTTGATATGGCGTCTATTCAGTAAACATAAGAAGAATGGTTACTGTGTGTGTTTCAATGCACACTTGTTCATTTTAACAGTTTTAACCAAATATAGACTCTTAACACAGTACACTTGCAGTGGATCGTATAACATATTGACATGCACGGTAAGAGTTGTTCTAAAAAGCAGTTGTGAACTAGATATCCTTAATGATAGGAGACTAATATATGATGGAGTCCATACTCCAGTTAAAACACGTTAAAATACACGGTATAGCACATTTCCACAGCAGTGCTGATAGGAAGACTGTATGCCAGAAGAAGCTTTATTGAATGAAATAGTAAACAGGGAAACAGCTGAGTATCTTATGATTTAAGACTGGCCACATAGGAATCAGTAAAGGTTGTAGGAAGAAAGAAGTTCTTCTCTCTTTGCCTAATATATCACCATGGACCCCCAACTTCAGTATGTCCTAATAGCATAGAGCTGATCTAGAGAGAGAGAGAGAGAGATCTGCATTATTCAGGCTTTATTCTCTTTTAATATTTTCTTGTGCCATTCTTGCTTACAGGCATATTAATGGTTGTAATGTTGCAGGCATTACTGGGCTCTTTCGTATTTGGAGAAGAAACTTCTCTGTTGTGGTGGAGTGGTGCTACACTGGTGTTGCTTGGCTTGATGCTTATCTGTCATCCACATAAACAACATGAACAATAAACTGATAATAAACTCATTTGTTTTACTTAATGTCATCGTAGAGCCCCTCCTAATTCTTCTACTTTCATGGATTTGGTTCTCTATTTTATTTGATTCTGAATGAATCCTGGGGCAGATATCTTTAGATGTGTACACCAGAAGGTCCCAACCCTTACACCACAGCACAGAACAAACATGGCCAATCACATTCAGTGATTGGGGTTAGCTCTTTCTAATGGACCCAGCAGACTAGGTGTCTCCTATCCCTTCACCTGAGGACAGAAGCAAGTTCAGTTTCTAGAACATTTTGTTGTTTACAATACCAGTGAGGGATATAGTGCAAAATCCCAGTAATCCTGAATGACCAATAATCCGCATCTTGGCGGCATTAAAATGTGTGATCACAGCATTCAGACATCCTGCAATATTTCTTCTCTTAGCTCCTCGAACACAAATTGTGTTATTAAGTTTGAATTGTTAAATGCAAAAACAAGACCTTTTTCAGATACCAGATTCACATTGTGATGTGTTACCAAAGGAACTCTTACTTCTCTGCAAACTTTCAATTTCCCTTTAGGCTGCAAAATGAAGGAATTAATTCTTGTGAGTACTTTTGTTTCATTCACGAGAGCAAATGCTCTGTATTGGCAAAACGTTTATCTGCAGCAGCTTGCCTGCTCATATGAAATAAACTGGAAATAAAAACTGATTGCCTGTTTTAGAAACATGCAGGACACCACAGTACAAAGGAAACTAATAACTCATTCAAAATTGTGGCAGAGAAAGATGAACATTTAATTATTGAAATGCGCAAAACCATAATCTTGCCTTTTTTTCCATGAATGTGAAGCTCTGCCCCTCTCCTAGGCTGAGAGTGAGAACAGAGGTTGACATGGCAGCAGGTTTTTCTGAAATGTCAGTATCTATCTGCAATACTACATGGTATCATATCCCAATGACCATATTTTTAAGGGACTAAGAGTTTTGAGAACAATACTGAGGAAATATTTGTACCTGCAGCGTAGCCAGCAGGTGTGAAATCGAGGAAAGTGTGTGAACTTTGAGTGGAATTTCCACTTCTACCTCTGCTCTTGGGAAGAATATATTATTCCTCTACTAAGACTCCTTTCATGAACAAGAAAGGAGAACCTCAGTTTCTAGTAACACAGAATATACAAGGAACTTCATTTAAAGAACAACAACTACATGATTACTTTTAAAGAAAAAATTGCAGTAATCCAAAACAATGAAAAACCAAAATGTTGGACTCCTGGCTACAAGTCAGCATGCATCTGGAAGGACCTGCGACTGGCCATTTTGACACTTTTTTGGGGGGGGGGCTTTCATGTCTTCAAGCAAATGCTGAGATGGTTCTTAAGTTTCAAGTTGTTACAGTGATCTTCTCTTGCAGCTCTCACAATTTTAATTCATCATTATTAAACGACATTTCTGTAAAGCCTATCATATTATCTAAACAGAAAAGGCATCATGCTGTTTACTGTACATAGAAGGACAAAGGTAGATTACTTCTGTTTTATGACAGCTTATTACGCTTGACACTGATATATTAAGGCACTCCTAATTAATGAAATTAACCTGATTATTTTTAAACCTTTTAACTAACTCCATGGAGCTGAGTCCTTGAGAAGCTGCCAGTCACTCAGCTACTCAATTTCCTAATATTTTATGGCACCTGAAGGTTCATTACCATGTTCACAAGAGCCTTACACTGGTCTCTATTCTGAGCCAGATCAATGCAGTCCATGTCATCCCATTCTGTTTCTCTAAGATCCATTTTAATATTATCCTCCAACCTACATCTAGGTCCTCATAGTGGTCTCCTTCCTTCTTGCTTTCACACCAAAAATCCAAATGCATTCCTCATCTCTCTCATGTGGGCTTCATGCCCTCCCATCTCACTACCTCCTTGACTTTATCAGTCTAATTGTATTTGATGAAGAGAACATGTTATGCAGTTTTCTCCTACCATTTCGTCCCTCTTAATAGTATGCATCCTCTTGTGTGTTATAAACAAGGTACATAAAATGTATACAAAAGTATGCAGTCTACACAACAGTATTCTGTACTTAAAACAAAGTAGACATTATCGTATCAACATTTGTTTTTATTGACACTAAATGTTTCGACCCTTATTCTGGGTCATCATCAGGCATACTTTGTTTTAAGTACAGAATATTTTTGTGTACACTGCATACTTTTGTATACATTATACATACCTCATTTCATCCCTCTTTGGTCCAGATATTCTCAACACCCTCCTCTCAAATCCCCTTAATGTCAAAAGACCATATTTCACACCCATACAAAATTGCAGGTAAAATTAGTTTTGTATGTTTGATTTTACGTTTTTAGATAGCAGATGAGAAGACAAAAGGTTCAGAACTGAATGGTAACAGTATTACTTGAATGTAATGTGCTCTTAATTTCCTCCTGAATGAAATTTTGATTTGTTACTGTCATTGCCAAATATCTGAACTTTGCCACATTTTCAAAGGATCTATTAGCTATCCTCATGTTATGATTTTGCCCTGCATTATGGTAACAAGACATCAATATATCGTGACATTTTCTCAAAGCAAGAGCTGTTGATCCAGAGAAGCAGCCATTGCTAGGTAATGGCTGTGTAACATGCAACAATGGAGTAACTGTTGGGAGAGGTGTTTTATGTGTGGTCCATGCTGAGGCTATATGATGAAGGCCCCAAGACAAAGCGTGCATCAATGCAGTGGAAACATCCTGCGTCGCCTGCCAAAAAAAAAAGTTTAAGGTGGCACCATCCTCCAGGAAAGTGATGCTCATAGTCTTCTGGGATCATGAAGGCATACTGTGCCTACCGCACACCAGCCTCAAGGACAAACCGTAAATGCTGACTCCTACTGTAACATCCACAGGAAACTTCATAAGGCCATTCAATGGAAGCGACCAGGACTCCTCACCAAAGGCGTGTTGCTCTTGTATGACAACGCGCATCCCCATACTTCCAATAAGACAAATGAGATGCTGCGAAATTTCAAGTGGGAAGTCCTCGAGCACCTTTCGTATAGCGCAGACCTTGCTCCAAGTGACTTTCATTTGTTCGGCACTCTTAAACATCATCTTTTGGCTGAACATTTTCCTGACGATGAAGCTATAGAAATGGAAGTTACTGGCCGGTTCCGACAGCAGCCCAAAGAATTTTATGCTTCTGGTTTTCAGGGGCTTGTGAAACGATGGGACAAGTGCCTCAATGTACAGGGAGATTATGTTGAGAAATAAAAGCATTTTTGAAATCAGTACTTTTATTTATTTAAGTTCTATATCCATTTGTAACTTACGTATTAACTTACCCTCATATTATCCCAGCATTTGCCTGGAGAGACTGGGGAAGATCATGAAAATTTTCAGCCAGGACAGCCAGTGTCCCAGCTGGGATTCAAACCAAGGACATCCCGAATATAATTTTAGAACGTTACTGCTATACCAACCCACTTGGTACCTACAAGGTGTTATGAGCTAACCTAACAATGAAATGTTTTTTGGCATTATCCATCGTCTTGTCTATTTTGAAAAAAAAAAGTCCTGTTTCTTTTTCAAAACACGTTTCGGAGACTGGATTCAGTCCGCGTCCTCAGGTAAAACCTACTGAGTTGGGTCCAATAGCTAGTCCCTAAAAAATAGACAAGACGATGGATAAAGTCCAAAAACATAATACTTGTAGCAATATTGATCATGTTGGTTGCAAAGCTCAAGTTCAACTCAGGTCCTTCAATGTAAATGCGTGAAGGCATATCCATCTAAAGATGACTATCTTCTGCGATGTGGCACAGTGACGTTTTTGTAGACAAGTCTCTCAGAGAAACCAGCTGCCTATATTATAAGGGTAGATCCTACATTGGAAATGGAGCCAGAGGGTACCTTCGAAACATTGGTTTCTATCTACCAAACTATACGAGTCACAACGAACGGGTTGTAGCAGTGGTGACGCTCGGGTGAATCTCGGCCGAGACACCGACTATCGTGACTCATGATAGAGGTGGCTTTCCTCCAACTCAGGAAAATTTCAGGGTAATATCTAGATTAGGCTATGATTGCTTGGTTCCAAATCCTTTCCAGTTCATCAGTCATCCCACCATTCGACGCTTTATAGGCGTAGCCACCGACAGCGTCGTTAAGTAACCCACAAAAGAAATACATGGCTCACATTCCAAAGGATAGTAATCTTCGTAGTCATCACCGTTAGAACCTCACATTTTGCATATGCATTTGTTTTCCAGAAGAGAAATACTAACATTTTACCCCCAGAAACGTTCATCTGCCCATGAATTTATTTAGTAATGTTATTCAATTTCTATATCACAGAACCATATTTGCTTGTTCATGAACCTTGAAGGTAGCTTCCGTAGCTTTCTGCGGCTTCCAGCTTCAGGGTGTGTCCTCGTCTGTCACACATTTAAAGACAATTTGTATAATAATGTGGCATTGGACCCGTTGCTAAGCAGTGACTCTGTAAGACAACGAGGCAGTTGTTGATTTGAGGTGTCATCAGTGCAGATGAGTGAAGTGACATGAAGTAGCCGGTTGGCGAGTAAGAGCTTTCAGTTGTCAGTTGAAAATTAGCCCGTGGAGAGAAGTCTAGGAGGTCGGCGTGAAATGGCCGCAAGCCTGGGGCCCAGTTAGTTGAGTTGTCAGCTGACAAGAGTTTTGCAAGAGTGTGGCTGTGAACAAAAGACTGTATGTGTGATATTTGAGTTGTGTAATTCATTGAGACTGTTAGAGTACCGGCGTTGAATCCATTGCCAGAAAACGGCTAGTGGATATATAACAGACCGAGGACACTAGTCTGTGTATGTCAGTGGTGGTTCCAAATGGTGGTCAATAGATCCATTCACCAATCCATACGCCGTCTATAGTGACACCCCCCAAAAGTCGCGACAGTATTCGTATACTGAAGATTAAAGAGCCTCTTGTCTCCATGACGTGTATGTATTGACCGTCTTCTAGTGCATACAATCTCACTTGTCACTTCACTACATGTTTCGGCATCACTGTGCCATCCTCAGGTGTGTTATTTACGTTAAACTATTGCACTGTTGCCTGTTGTCTATCACAGCGTTTCCCAAAGTGCGAGTCCCGGCTGTCCCAAGGAACGTGAAGCTCTCTCTGGGCCGGTCGTAAAATAGGCCGGTAAGAAAGGTAAGACATTAATCGTGATCCCAAATCAACAGTATGCCGACAGTGATTATGCTGAATTAGCTAAATGATGCAATATGTTTATATATATATATATATATATATATATATATATATATATATATNTGCTCGGAGCCTCTGAAATTTCTATTCACTTTGAGGGAACCTCAGACCGACGTCTATTAAGGCGCGTCTACATTACTCGTGCTCGCCAGGCTTGTGCTCTTCGGGAGACTCGTCTGGCTTGTATTTGTGCTCGTAAATCTTCGTCCACACTACTTCAGTTGCTCGCCAGGCCTCGGCGCGTGAGGATCCGTATATTTACTCGTAGTGTGTATAGGCTGTAGTCGTATTTTAATTTATTGGCTATAGTTTTTAAATTAAAAATTTAAAAATTGCTTGTCTCGTGACTTGTCATATCCTCCACATTACTCGCGAGTATAGCGAGTCACAGGAGCACGAGTAATGTGGACGCGCCTTTAGACTGAACCACTTCCTACATTATGTTTTATTTTATGTGATTCTTTCAAATCCTGAAATTTGCTGGAATCTGGATATTTCTTTTTCAACTTTCACGAATTAGGACCTATTGCCTGTTCAGCTTGAAGGTTCTGAAGATGTATATCCACAGACATTTGGTAGGGCTCTTTTAACGGGGTATCGGCCAATAGCAAGGCCCCTACCTACGTAGGGGAACACGGACATGCATTTGTGCCTCGAGCGGGATTAGAATCCGCGATCCCAGTGTTCGAGCAGTTCAAAACCATGCGCACTTTACGTCGGGTGGCCAATGTTCGGCTCAGATCCATAGCTATTGGGCTGTCATGAGTCAGTCACTCTCATCTGTTATTATCCACGATTAATTCTGAAGGCTTGAATCTTCACATATTTTGTAGAACTTCTTGGGCGGGGAATCGGCTCATCACAAAGTCTCTATCTACATACAGCAATACAAAAAAAACACACACACACACACACAGAAAATCGCGGATATAAGAGCCATTCACTGAGCGGAATTCGAACTCACGATCAGTTCTTTAGAGGTTAGAGATTACACACTTCTTAGACCGCTCGTCACTGAAAACCTACCTTTGAAAATCTAAATAAAAATTAAATTAGTCCAGTAATGATGCTAATGAGAAATATATTCTCTAGTTATCCAGGATGCTCATATCACGGACAACATAACCGGCCATCCCTTGACCTTACCCCCACTAAGTTATAAATCTGAAGAATGTTTAGTAGATCACACGCGCTATAGACCGCTATAGACAGTAGGGTCTCTGTTACAGCTAAGCAAATAACGCACGAAGGTGGTGTCGTGCCGATACAAATCGGAACTTTGAGTCTCCTCCTCAAGTGCTTAAGTGGGTCGGGTCATATCGATCGGCCCCTGCCGGCCTGCAGGTTGCGGGCCTCAGTCGACATGTGAACGCGCAGCAGAGCGGACCAGCCATGGGCAATGGCATGAACAAGGTCAGTAAGCATGTCTCACATTATGACAGCTTTTGACTATAAGGGAAGTATAGATATTTTGTACCTCAGTTTTATCTCACATATTTCGTGCCTCTTTCACTTCGCCGTTTTTTGTCTGCGTCATGTCAGTGCGCTGGAGAACCTAACAACAACAGCAACAGCAACAATAATTACAATAATAAGAAGTGAAAGTAACCATTACACGAGTAATTATTGATGAAATATGAAGTATTCTAAAAAATTAAATGGACAATATAATTTAAGGAATGGTAGACACTGGTAGGCATTTATGTATTTTTAGGGTGGGCTGAGGCTCAACCCTTTCATACTTAGGCCGGAACTGGTCTATTGTAACAGCCCCAATAATAGATAAGAGAAATTAAGCTTTTGGTGGAATGAGAATCGCCAGGGGAAACCGAATTACTCGGAGAAGTGTTATTTTGTCCACGTTAAATCCCACAAGAACTGGCCCAAAATTCCGGAAGGGAATCTGAGGATTAACAGGCTGAGCTATGACACAGAACACGCTAAGCTATTCTGCGGAGATTTTCTGCACGCATTATATGCAAAGTGATCAATCAGCACCAGAACTCTGGCACATGAGTCTAACTTTCAGAGTGAAGTTCGATCTATACACATGGGCATAAGTTTTAAACAAAGACTATAACGATAATGATAATGATGAAACAAATGTAGCTTACAAAACCACGCCAGTGAATCTCTCTTGATGTGAGAAATTTTAAGTTTTCAAGGCGGTAACAATTTAGATTGTGATCTTTTGGTTATACCGCGTCGTCTGTAAAGCGTCAGCAAATATGATTTAAATGGTATTTATAATTACTAATTATTCTTAACGATATCAATTGTGTAAGATTTTATTAAATTCTATGTTTGTAATTTGACGTGGCTTTTACTTATAGATTTAAAATTAATTCAGCATCGTTCCTATCAGCACACTTCTCGGCAACGTCGTAAAATCTTTCAAGGCCCCCTGAAAGGCCGTGGCTCCCACTTTGGGAAACATTTGTCTATAATAGTTACACATATATTTATTTAAAAGGATAATTATAAGGATAAGTCTTGAAAGTAGCAATGCAGAAGCGATAACTTTCTCATGTCCAGGCAACAATGTTTTATTGCAAAGGAACAACTGCCACTTCTCGAATACACGAGTTCCTGTACATTTCTGCGCATGGCGGCATCTACTTTGCCCACTGTTGGTCTCCTCAGGAATCTGTAATTGAGTTTTAGGTTATCGAAAGCCAGATTCAATAATTAACTACTTTAATTAATTGCTATTACAGAGGAGCTCTTGCTAAATTAAGGGTGTTAGTAGTCACTTGAACGCTTTTCTTCAGCGAAATATGTAGTTCGAAATTGAACGAAATGAATTAATGTATTTATACAGCGAGTGCAAAGTGTTTAACAAGAGCGGGAGTAACAGTATTCATCATGTATCTAATGCTTTGCGCCTAATTTGAGGTGACACAGACAACAGCCCGTGTATTCCAGAGTTACTATTTTATACTGCCCTTTTTCTCAAAACATGAAAGATACTACATCAGTTTACCTCCGAATGCAAGAACAAGCAATGTGAAATGTTTGATGCTAGATTTGAAGAAAGAACAAACAAACGGATTTCACCTCCCGAACCAAGCTTCAGGAAGCAGCGGGTCGATAGAGCGTTTTGTGGAATGTAACGCAGCTGAAAAAACAAACTGTTTTTGGACAGCGAACTTTTGTATTAATGTATAATGAGTGCAACTGAAGCTGTATATCAAGAAAAGAAAATAGCATTTGGGAACACAAGTTCGCACCTCTGTGTACTCCTCTGTAGCACTGGATGACAGAGTTGTCATGAGCGACATAGTTCGATTTCTTATACGAAGTGTCAACAGTTAGTTAGATGTCGTTACTGAATTGTTTTCCATGGAAGCTACATGTCTACGTAAGGCGCAGAAATTGCTGAGGGTAGTGCGAAAGGCTGTCAAAAATATTCGCTATCGCGGAGCAAGTTAATATGAATTCGGATCACACAATTTAACAGGTAAAGACATGTTTTTCAGAAGGATGCAAGTTGTGAAAATCAAGAAATGTTACTATTATTCACCTAAAAGTACTGTAGAAAACTGGTTTAAATATGAATCATATGACAAGGAACCTGTGAATCGCTTGCACTTCATACTAACAAGGTATTTGAGTCATAGCGAATTCATATCCCTGCTACCACACCACTCCAACGTCATGGCTGAGCATAATTTAAAACCCTAAGTGGGAGTGGACGTAAAAGAATATTTCCCAGTGTTCTTCTCGACATGAAAAATAAGGATCTAATATTCCCAAAATCGAAAGACGAAAATTGTAAAACTCGTTAGGCATCCCTGGTTAGCGTTTCAGAACATCAAATAAATTCAATGCGATTCTTTCAGCAAAGGCCTTATAAACACGTTTAGGGACATCAAGACAGTTTAGTGTGTTTCTTCAAAGAAGAGACCTCCATAGACACGAAATATTTACAGCGGTACATATTTTCAAAAGAACTTAACATATATTTACCCATTCTTCGGCTCTAAGAAGAACACATATGAATTCTAGTTCAGCCGGTAAGTACAGTAACATTCTTAGGAAAATATATGAAAAATTCTGTAGTCCAGTATTTTTTCAACCTGCGGATCGCGACCCATCAACTGATCGTGGGAAGTAATTCATGGAGGCGCAGCTTATGACTTTACAGTTATGTATGTATTAATATACAATATACGTATATCTGTACATGAAACCTACGGTACGACTATGAACCTGAATGATGACTGAATATAATAAATTTGTATGCAATTTTAAAGTGAAATGTAAGTTTATAATCGATATGTTTGAATAACATCTCGTTTTGTTGCTTCTGTAACGGAAGTGTACTTAAGCTGTTAAGCTGATCTATACATATTTGTCACTATCTGTTTGTCATAAATATATAGTCATATAGTTATGTACAATATTTCCGTTAACCATCCCTCAATAAATATAATATGACGCAGTTAGGCACACTGCAGTATACCAGCCTCAGCTGTGGGTGCGCGAGATGCGCACAGTACAAGGGTGGCCACCTACCGAAGGAGATCAAAGACAAAAGCGGTAAACTATAAACAACGATATGGAGAGCAGAATTTTATTTCCTTAAAATATTAATTTTGTTCTTGAACGTGAAATTTGTTTATGTACAATATATACTGAACATGAAGTAAACTAAATAACATGTTTATACGCAAGTATCCAATTGTATTTGCCTTTAAACTTCCACAGCGCTGTGCTGCCTGTCGCTTTCCTAAGTTACTTTCTACCGGTGGCCAGTAACAGGCTGAGTTTGGGGCGGAAGCCTCGGAGCCTCTACAGAACAGAAATAAAATCCACAGATTTTACTCATACACTGATTCTCCAAAATTACAGAACTCTGGTTTGTGTTTCGAGTTGCCATGAGAAATAAGAAAAATTAGCAAAACTGCTATAACGTAAATTTTGCTGTTACTGATAGCGGTCTCCAATTTTGAGTGCCCTGAGGCCCCACAAAACAAATCCGGCTCTATACAGTAATCACCATGTGTGCGCTTTACATTGTCATTATTTTAAAATGTTCGAAATCGGATATCTTTTGTTATCAAAAGAAAAAAAGAATATGAAATGCAAAATATAAAATACATAGGCATAAGAAGTATTCTAACACGGTCACAGATTACGAACAGATAAAATAAAAGCTGAAACCTAAATAATAAAACATGACGCTCTAAAATTCGCTAACCAGTAACACTCCTCTAGCTTCCAAGTAGCTTTGTATGTCCCTGCGACAGTTGCGTGGAATTCAAACAAATGAAGGTTTCCAAAATATGACGCCTCTTCCAAGTTTCCTGAGACATCATCAATAGGTTCCAAACTTATTACCAGGGGCGAAGAAACATACACGGATATGATACCATATACTTGCATTTACTTTGAAAGGAAAGTAGGCTATCATAGGGATGATACGTCTGCCCTCAATTAGCATTCAGTGATATAATTTAAGACTGTCGGAGGATAATGCAGCATCGATGACGCGGATCAGATGTGCCACAGCTATCTAGATTAACAAGCATAGTGGAGCAATCCCGGGTCGATCACAGTGGCCGTGCGGTCTAGGTTATGAACTCTTTTCGCCACTCGAACACTGGGTTCATGGGTTCGGATCACATTCGAGCCATGGATCTCTGTGTTTGTGTTGTCCTGTGTGTAGGTAGCGGCTTTGCGACGGGCTGACCCCATGTCCGAGGCGTCCTACCCACTGTCTATAGATTACGAAACTGAAAAAGCGGCCATGGCCCAACAAAGGGCTGTAGAGCCATTGATGAATGAATGAACTACGGGCGCTATGACTCACATTTCTTTAGTAATCTTGAAAGAAGTAAAAGCTGCGGAAAATTGTTCTGGTTCCTTACAATTTTGTTCGAAACATGTCCTGTTCCGCTAGATAATCGTTTAGCTAGTTACGCTGGAGATACGAGCAAACACGCATGTGATGTTGCGACATGTGGACCCGTTGACAAACACGTTTCCGTGTAATTGAGTGAACAACAAACATTTCCTATACAGGCGGTCATTCAGACAAGCATCAAGTCAGTCGAAGTTGACGACAGTCGTAAATCAGGAGCCAGTCGTAGTCCAGCCAGAATGGAGAGTCTTAGGCGGTCATTTATTGCGAGTTATTGTAATCAGTTGTGATTAAGAGAGATTGTACAAGAAGGTGTCAATAAATCGAATCATCCAGTCAAAACACCGTTTATTATTAATCGCCCTGCCATAAACACGTGACAAAAAAGTAGAGCTATCCCTGTAACAGGCTGTGGAGGCCCATAGGGTTGTGAGAGGTTCGGGCTCCCACATTTTCTAGGCAATCGGCTCACAGATGGCGGTAAGGTTGTCAGCCCTACGCGCCGGCTGCCCTTTACCCCCGACAATATTCCAAGAATATTCCTGGT